AAATCTGTAAGTTTATTATAATGGTAGGAAGTATGTAAATGTGTAAATAGTTTTCCATTATGTAAATACACTTTACGGATTCCGGGGATAAATACCCTATTTCCACGAAAAATAAGGTAACAAGCCCGACAGTTTCAGAAGGACAGAGCAATAGTTTATCATTAAGTTGATACCAAAACTGGGAAAACGGTCTTTTCCCGTTCTGCTTACGAGTGCCCGAGATGGTCCTAAGCTTTATTGTTTTCGGAAGTAGAATTCATTGCCCCCTTCTATTGATGAGGACTAGCCCGAAGTATGCATCTGAGAAACGAAAAAACTGACATAGGTAGCACATCCACCAGTAATTCGTGCATCTCACCCTTCTGAGAACTTCCAGTTATGTGGGAGCATCCCATTAAAATCACTAAAATGAGAATCCCAAACTGAATGTCCGGGCGATCGTGGTATTTTGTTGATGAATAATTCAGCATATTTTTTTTCCTGTTTTGTGGTTTCGATAATTTTTGTGTGCTAATTTTTATTTTTCTTATTTTCAGAGATGTAGCTGTAGGTGATATTGTAACAGTTGGTGAATGTCGACCACTGTCCAAAACGGTCCGATACAATGTTCTGAAAGTAATCAAAGCATCTGGATCGAGGAAAAGCTTTGATAAATTTTAACGGTTCTTCTGTTGGTTTTGTTGCTGTTTGGTCGGACGAATAAATCATTTGTTATTGCTTTGTGTTTTTGCCTCGTTGTTCAGTCTTACGGCTTACCATTATCTGTGATAAAACTGACAAACTTTCATGAGTATTTAGGGGAACCGAAAATAGCCTGCTAAAATATCTCTGAGAAACTGAACAAGCGCAAGTTGTTGTTGAAAAAACAACTCAGTTTTAGCTCCTTACCCTCCTATCCATTCTTAAGACAACCACAGATTTTTTGCTTTTTTCCGATGTAAAGGTTATGCTTAAAAAATAAAATCCGCTGTATCCTCTCTACTTCTCCCCAGTTCGTCTTCACTCTTTCCTTTTTACTCCAGTTTTATTCCATTTGACAAATACTCACCATACACACATGATGAGCAGAAGAGGCTGCACTGGTGATTCTCACTCCTACTCGCGCACACTGCGTTTGGTCTGAATTTATAGCTAGGGGATTGGAGATTTTGCTGCTTTTTCAAGATGAAATAGTCATAGAATATTATTGCGAAGATTGGCGGAATTTGTCCACCCTCATCCTCGCTATTTCGATGCCCAGGATGTTCATCTGCACTGCTTGTCCCAAATAAATATGGCTGTGGATTGGTCACTTATCTCCAGTCCTAATATCGCCAATTGCACTGGGAGCTTGGGTTAGGAAAGTTGTGTTTTTCTTCGACCGCTGCACCATCAAGTCACGAAATTTCCTTGACAAGTTTTTGCGTCCAAGAAGCTGCCTTGAAATTCAGTTTTTGCACCAATGGATTCTTGATTCGACGCAAAGTTTTTTTGCTTATTTTGCTATTTTTTTCAAGTCTCCTGTTTTTTCCAGATTGGAGTTGTCGTAATGGCGTCAAGTAGTGCCACAGAAAACAGAAAGGTAAGCAGTGGGTGTCTCCAGTTTTTCGTATTTTTTGATACCAAAACAAGTGTAAAGGTCATTATCTGTAGGCTGAATTT